CACCACCTGCCCAGGGTGCTCCAGCGCGCCCCTATTTTAGCGCCATACCAGAGAGTTCTTATCGTCCTCCAGCTATTCAGGGTTCTTCCAGTGGACATTCAGGTCCCCAGGGTTCTTCTGGTCCCTATTCCAATGCTACGCCAGAGAGTTCATACAGCCCTCCAGCCATTTCTGGTTCCTCCAGTGGGTATTCAGGCCATCAGGGCCAGGCTTTCGGACAGCAGGCTATGGTACCTAGAGTTTGCTATAAGTGTGGAGACCCAAGCCACATGAAGAGGACCTGCCCTAGGCTTCGGGGCAAGGCAGTACAGCAAGGTCAGCAGCCTATGATTCTAGCATCGGTTTCCCAGCCGCCTAGGGGCGGGGGACAGAGTGGTAGAGGCCGTCCTAGAGGTGGAGGCCAGACAGGGAGAGGTCAGCCAGCTACTGCCCAGTCAGGTGGAGGCCAGCCAGCTGGCGCTCCAGCCAAATTCTATGCTCTTCCAGCTAGACCAGATGCATTGGCCTCAGATGCCGTTATCACAGGTATTATTTCCGTCTATGGTAGAGATGATTCGGTATTATTTGATCTAGGGTCCACCTATTCATATGTGTCATCTCTGTTTGCTCGTTTTCTAGTTATTGCNAATTTTATATACTAAATATTCCTTGTATGCTATATCTAAGCATGAAAAAAACCAAACAAAACATTTCCTTTTTTAGAAAAAGAAAACTTACAGCTTAGAATAGGTAGTAGGTTGTTGTTGGCCAATGAAAAGTATCATTTTTATGTCCTAATTTTAGTATAAAAATATTCAAAGTACTTTCAAATAATCTTTTCTCTCTATATTTATTTTTAGCAAGGTAAGAAAAAAGAGCTCAAACAATTAATATTTTTTTAATTACAATTAGTGCAAAAAAAGTTTAAGCAAATTTGTAATTATAGATAATATTTTAGAACATTATTTTATGTATGTTTCATTATGACTAAGCATGAAAACTAATCAAAATTAACGGTATAACACTAGAGAATAAATGAATTTTAGTGGATTTTATTTTCTAATTTCTCATGTTATTCAATGAGAATACACGTTATACCTACTTTTGAAAGTCTAATTACAATTAAATTCTAGCTTTCTAGATATTGCCTTTGTATAATCTTTGAAAAGTACACTGATCAATAATAAGATAAATTCCTAAAAAGATATTTAATAATATAAAAGATCTATCAACTCATAAATCTAAAAGTGCAATATTAGATTAATTTTTAAAAACTCTAAATGAGCTAATAAATGAAGAACTTGAATGAATAAAAAATGATGTTAAAAATAAATAATAAGTTTTTGAATTACTAATTATCGAAAGAATTCAATTTAATTATTTTTTTAATTCATCATATACGTAAATTAGTTTTGAGGTTAACAAAAATCTTAGAATACATAAATTTATATCCATGAAAAAAATGAACCAAATTAGTTAAAATTATAATTATGAATCAAATTAGTAAAAATACAAACTTAAAATAATAAGGATGAAATAACGAAAGACAAAATATATTCTAAATAAGTTGTCATAAATTATTATTATTATTATTATTATTATTATTATTATTATTATTATTATTATTATTATTATTATTATTATTGTTGTTGTTGTTGTTGTTGTTGTTGTTGTTGTTGTTGTTGTTGTTGTTGGTATTGTTGTTGTTGGTGTTGTTATTATTATTCCAAAAATGGCAACTTTTACCGTTTCTATATATTCCGTTAATAGTTGTAAAATAGTAACTCAATATTAGTTATTTTTAGGTTTTAATAGTTGAATCACCAGTTATCATTTTCAGGAACTTGCTTTTTTCTTAATTTTAATTTTATAAGTCAAACTATTAGTCAATAATATTTATATTAATTTTTTAAATTGTATAATACATGATATATACACACGCGCAAAGCGCGTACCCTAAGACTAGTTGTAATAAATGAATCTCCCCCTTCCTTATTTATTGATCGATATTTTGAATCAAATTATTGTTTTCCGCGTCTTCATCAACTTTAGGTTTCGAAAAATCCTTGTTCCAATTGAAAAAAAAAATATCAAGTTCGTCAAAATTGGCGTCCCAATTGTAAGACATATGTCCGTTTAAGTAAAGGCGGAATACCTAAAAACCACTCTAAACTTGACATAGGTTATTAGTTATATCTCTAAACTATCCGTGGTCTTAATTACCCCCCTAAACTTGGCCTTTTGAGGGTCATTGCCTCCCTGGACGCTGATGTGGCCAAGAATGTGGGTGCACTCTCTTTAAAGCGCGTGGGAGTGAAGAAATATTGAAAAAAATCAACTTTCAAGTAGGTTATTTTTTAACTTTTAATTGTCATATAGTCATATATAATGATTTATTTGTTAAAACTATATATTTCTTCTTGCTTCATCTTAACATATAATGTGGACTTTACTCTAATTTTTTATTCTTTTTAATTTCTTCTATAGATACAATGTCTATTTGTTCCAACTGCATATTTCTTTTTTTGGGGGGCCAAATTTGTAAAAGTTTGGGTTGAACTCCATCATTTTAGCCGAATAGAAAACATTTAGCAAAAATAATGGAGTACTAGTTGTTTATTTTCCGTCTTATTTTACTTTAAATATAATGTCTATTTATTTTAATTGTATACTTTTATTTTCAAGTCAAATCAGTAAAAAAAAAAAAAGGCTACAACTCCATTATTTTTTACCAAATAAAAAGTTATAGCCAAAATAATGAACGTGAATTTGTACACTTTTTTTATTTCTTCTTTTGATACAGTGACTATTTATTTCAATTGTATATTTTACCTTTTCCTGTAATATCTGTTAAAAAGATATTTTTTTAGAGCTACATAATCTAGAGCTATATAAAAAGTTATAGCCAAAACAATAAAAATCAAACTATGTATTTTTTTCTTTTTAGATATCTTGACTATTTATTTCAACTGTATAAATCTTTATTTTCAGGTTAATTTAAAAAACAATAACTAAAAATTTATTATGTTTAGCCAAATAAAAAAATTAGCCTAAATAATCTAGTTTTAGCCAAGTTTTATTATAAATACTATTCAAAAAAGATTATCTAAAAGAGTAACACACTTAAAAAGGTATAAAATATATTTTATTTTTAATAAAATGCCACATTGATAGTAAAATCCACGTGGCAGGTGAGTGCATGCCACTTTCCTTGGATGAGATAGTTCACNTTGATGAAGACGCTTGGTTGACGGAAGACTTTTATAGCCCGTCTTTTTGGGCTTGTCATCACCTGAATTTGAATATGGGAGTAAGGGTTGGTATTTGGAAGAATATTCACGATTAAGGGAATATGAGGAACGACGTTGTCTTCTAACAACGTTGGTAAATGATTGGTCTAAGGAGAGAGATGAACTTGCACATAAAATTGATAATTTTGGCTTGGCTGTACATAACTTAGATGCAGATTTAAGTGCAAAGGTTGATGCGTGTAACGCCCAACAATTTAATAATGAGTTGTGTGAAGCTGAAAAAAATCTTCTAGACCAAATTGAGGAGCTAAATTATTTTTAATAAAATGCCACATTGATAGTAAAATCCACGTGGCAGGTGAGTGCATGCCACTTTCCTTGGATGAGATAGTTCAACGGGTTAACAGTTATCGAATGACCAAGTATATGGAGGGGGGGGGGGGGGAGGGGGTTAATTAAAATCACGGATAGTTTAAAAACATAACCAATAATACATGTCAAGTTTAGGGAGGTTTTAAGGTATTTTGTCTTTTAAGTAAATTGAACAAACAACCTTTGAGGATTCATAAAGTTTTAGCAGGATGGATAGTGCATCAGTAATCTCTGATACAGACCCATATTTGAACTCAACAAAATAGGGACGAGGATTGTTAATATATGAAAAGTGACACTGTACAGCCGCCGCAAAAATAAGAGTTACAAAAAATGTATAAAATTTGTATTTTTTTAAATATATATTCTGTTCATTATATACAAAAATTATATAAATTTTATATACTTTTTCGGTTAACAGAAGTAAATAGTTTCTAGCGCGGGCTAAAAATGATAATACCCCTTAATATATCACAATAATAAGCATATGGAGTTTGATAGGAACCATCGGTGAATTCGAGGAAACTGAGAATGTCATCGACATAGTAATAAGCATGTGGATGCAGCTCACTACTACTAGACCCAGATGACAAGTCGGCCATAGCAGTGGAATTGAAACAACAATTTGATTAAAAATATAAAAAATGGTTCCAAGCTTTGAATTCGAAAATTGGTCTAGCGAAAGTTATAATTTGTTCGGATTGGGTATTGTTACAAATGATTGACTAATTCTTTGGAATTTAGATTTCAATTTTGAGGGAATTTGGTGAATATTCAAGTTAGTTTTGGTTGAAATTTTATATTGAAGCCGGGCCGAAACAGTAGAGTTCAACAACCAAAAAAATGGTGAAAATAGCACGGGCTAGCCAGTTTCAGAGTGTAATTAAAAAATAGCCAGCGTTTGCAAAGTCATTGAAAAATAGCCACTATTTTACTGCAACACAAAAAGTTCCAGCATAATATACTGGAGAAGTGGAGATTGGTACACCTGTGTATGAACTTCCAGCATATTATGCTGGAACTCCAACACACGGAAAATTCCAGCATAATATACTGGAGATTGGAGCACCTATGTATGAACTTCGAGCATATTATGCTGGAACAGTATATTATGCTGGAATATTTTCTGAATTTTGAATAGTATTTCCGTTCAGATTTATCTTTACATGAAAAATAGCTAAATTTCGATTACTTTTAAAACTATCACTATTTTTTAATTAACACTTATAAATCTTTCTTTTTTCCCAAACTTATAAATCTGACTATTTTTGAATTTCAACCCAAAAAATGGTGCAGCCCACATCTAGACAATCTTATTTCAGCCCAAAAAAATCAGCGGGTCGTTCTAATAAGCCTTGTTCTTCTATAAATAACACTCTACTAGCTTCTTTTCATCATTTATTTCTCTTTTTTTCCTTTTCTTTTTTTCTTTTTTTCTTCTTCTTCTTTGGAGACACTTTCACCGTCCGGTTACCGGAAACTCTATCATCGTCCGATCTCGATCAAGTGGTTAAGAAAATGCTGAATCAGAGGTTAAAGCAAGAACAGCAAGCAGCCTTGATGCAACAAGCTCTGCTTCAACAACAGTCCCTTTATCACCCTGGCCTCTTAGCTGCTCCTCAGGTTCCTTTCTGGTTTTTAAATTTTTCCACGTTTTCGTTTATTTCAGTGTATCTTCGTTAATTTGTTCATATTTCGTTATCATTACGTTGATCGTTCTAGACCTCTAGGTTTTATTACCGTCAAATTAATGGGATTTCAGGTCTAGTGATTTTAGGTATTTTAGGGGTCAAGGTCATTGTATAGTATATTTTGTCGAACAAACTTGAAGCGGACCTTTTTGTTTCCTTAATATTATGTTGTTGTTTTGACCTGATAGAAACTTAGGGTTCGGATGTATGTTGTACTATTGGCTGCTTTAAGATTTTTTTCTTCCATTTTCGTTTTTCTTAATGGCAGTGGTGTCAGGGCTGGTTTATGAGCACCTCCGCTCCTACACCGGGTACCTGCTAGTGGGCCCTACACTAGCACAGGAACCGTAACTCAGCTCACCAAGGCTGAGACATGGAAAGAAATCACATATTATATTTTCTTTTTACCTCTGCTGGGATTTGAACTCTTATAATTCTCCTCCCACCTCATTGACCACTAGACCACGCCCCTGGCGGCTCAAAATTTCGTTTCATGAAAACACCATATGCAAGAGTGCAAGAAATTTATCTTCTTTGGCAACAGTTGTTAATGTTCTACATTCTAGCGCTTTGACATTTTGTTCTACTCCTACCTAATAACTATATCAAAAGTATTAAATCTAATCACTTGCAGTTCTGAAGGTTTATCCTTATAGTTTTATTACAGTTTAGTGATTAACTGAATTGGTTAATCTGACTTAATTTATCACATGCAGTCATTTATGACCCATGAGCTTACTTTCCTTATTTTAACAACTTTACACAGAGAAAATATAAAATAAGGTTGTCTAAAATTTAAACCTGGCTTCTTGTGGCATCAAGAGTTTATGCATTTCATTGCTTCTCAAACTGTTTTGTTTTTCGAGTTGCATGTAGGGTATGTTCAAATAGATATTTTTAGTTGGGGAGCTATCCTTCTTTAGCAAAGTGGCTTGTTAGTGAAGTATGAAGCTTATAGACAGCTCTTATGATAGTAGGGGATTATGCAGCTTCAGAGAATGAAGCCAAACAAGGAAAAAAGAAAAAGAGGGGGGGGGGGGGAGCGGATGGGGTAGCGCTGGGTATTTGAGGAAACTGTCAATAAAGGATACAACAGCTTTTACTTGGAACGTTTATCTACTCTCTTTTCTTTTACTTGGTGCTTTCCTGGATATTGTTCCTGGGATTTTTGACATGTGGTTTTGTGTTTTTTTTTATTTAACTCTAATTTTATTTATACGTATTTTGGTGCAGATACCAAGTGGAAATCTACCTCCTGGGTTTGATCCAAGTACATGCCGCAGTGTGTGAGTGTTATTTTTCGGATCATCTCTTGTTTGCCTTCTCCTCTGCTAGACTACATGGAGCTTGCAAAGTGTTTCTTATTAACTGATTTTTTTTATGTGCTTCAGTTTGCCATTATATTCTCCGCTTGCTTTCCTGTTTATATTTGCCTGTCTTGATTTTTACATAATTACGGTCATGATTTGGCTATGTTGCTCAGAATCTTTCAAAGTTCTTGGATTTGGGTGTGGGCGTGGCCATGTGGGTGTGGAATCCGCACTAGATTTTTCAACGTAACTTGGGTGGTTTGACTACACCAGTAGCCAAGAAGTATAGGTCGATCGGGTATTTGGTTGGATTCTGTGTTTATGTCATATGTGTTTCCATAAAGTACTAGAACACTTTGCCATTATACGAGATAACTTATGAACAATATATTAAGTGTTCACAAAGAATTTAATTATACTAGCTTTAATTTAATAACTTCAATTAATTGTAATACCTACTTATATATGTGGTAATATACATTTATTGGTTGTATCTTAACACCCATAGCCTTACTGCTATCTGTGTCCCCGAGTCATAAGATTTAGGTGATGAAGAATCCAACTTCTAGATCCACACCTGTGTCGGGTGCCCACACTCTATAGTCTATCCAAGCAACATAGGATTTTGGTGACAAGTTAATATTCATACTGTTGTGATTTAATTGCTGGAGGAGGTCCTTATAGATTCAATTATTTCTTCTTTTGTTCTTCTTTTTCCTTTTTTAAGATTTCCTAGTTTCTTATTTTCTGATAAAATGCAGGTATGTTGGGAATATTCATCCACAGGTGGGCGAAACTCTTCTTCAGGAACTTTTTTCGTGTACTGGTCCGGTTGAAGGGTGCAAACTTGTAAGGAAGGACAAGGTACATCTTTTTCTTTATGCAATTTTGCCAATATTTCTGTGGCTACATTTACTATGTTTTATAGGTGCTTCCCTTTCTTCTCGTGTTTTCTAGGCATTTTTCTATTCATATGATTCTGTAATTGACATAGCTTTGTCTCGTGCAGTCATCTTATGGTTTTGTTCATTACTATGATCGAGGATCAGCTGAACTTGCTATAGCTACTCACAATGGAAGGCACCTGTGAGTAGGCTCGTTAGCTATGTGCTTTACTGTAGGCCTTTTTCCGTTTCACTGTGGCTCATACCTTTTTATTTTTAGGTTTGGGCAGCCTATCAAAGTTAACTGGGCCTATGCCAGTGGACAGAGGGAGGACACTTCAGGTGCGTTCAGTTTCTGTTTTTGTACAAGTGCAATTCTTGACTTCGCATTTAGCCCATTATGTTGTGTTGGAGTTCGTGAATTTGTGTAGTATGATATTCTCTTTTTGCAGGTCACTTCAATATATTTGTTGGCGATTTGAGCCCAGAAGTTACTGATGCCATGTTGTTTGCTTGCTTCTCTGTTTACCCTAGTTGCTCGTAAGTATCTCCCCCTCCTGTATGCCTCCCTAAGAAGGTGCTCTGTCATGGTTAATATATATATATATATATATATATATATATATATATATGAACTTAGAAAGTGTTAAATACACTTAACAGAAAATAATTATTGTGTACTCAGATGTGTATATATATAGTGGCTAATTGTCCCTGCCTATTGATAGTGATGCTAAGGTAATGTGGGATCAGACGACTGGGCGTTCTAGGGGTTTTGGATTTGTTTCTTTCCGCAATCAACAGGTATCCTTTTATCTGCCTTTACTTTCAAAATTATCTCTCGGGCGATGCAGCTTTGTTCCCATTTAAATTAATTGTTTTTATTCAGGATGCTCAAAGTGCGATCAATGATTTAACTGGTAAGTTAACACAGAAGTTCTCTGTATTCAGTTAACTTTTTACTGATTGATGCACAAGTTGGAATATTTTAGAGCAATTGAGAGCTAGAAGGTCTTATCTTACCCTCTCTCTTTATGTTGCTATAAGGGAAATGGCTTGGTAGTAGACAGATACGTTGTAACTGGGCAACAAAAGGTGCCAATGCGAATGACGACAAGCAGGGATCAGACGCCAAAAGTATCGTGGAATTAACGCATGGATCGTCAGGTGTGTACAATTTTCTGAACCTTAAAGACAATTCCTTCAATTTGGTAAAGTGAATTATCCAATAGCTTGTCTCCGGTTTTGTTTGGAAGGTAGCTGGATTCAGAGTGTTTAGTTCTTGAAATTGATTCTAGCCTTCTTAATGAATGCCTTTTTCCTGTTGCAGAAGAGGGTAAAGAGCCAGAAAACGGTGATGCTCCTGAAAACAACCCACAATATACAACTGTTTATGTGGGTAATCTTGCTCCTCTGGTAAGATATTCTCACTCACTTTTCTGTACGGAAAATGATAATAGTGTGACCTTTTAGGAGTAAACCACAGAGTGCCTTTGCCCTTTGTCCCTGCTCAAGTCTTGAAGTGCCTTTGTGCTTTTGGAAGGAATTAGCCCTTTTACTTTCATTTGTTTCAGGTGACACAACTCGATCTCCATCGCCACTTTTATGCCCTTGGTGCAGGAGTGATAGAGGAAGTTCGGGTTCAACGTGATAAAGGATTTGGTTTTGTGAGATACAGCACCCACGATGAGGCAGCTTTGGCGATTCAAATGGGAAATGCTCAATCAATTCTGTGTGGTAGACAGATTAAGGTACATCATTCTACCTGAAGGTGGCTTTTTCTAGTATTACAGTTGCTTTGCAAGTCATTGTATTGGATTCTGATATGTTCTTTTCCTAAATATAGGATGATACTGTTCTTACTAACCAATTTTATTTGATCAAAATTTTTGAGCTTGACTTAATGATATGTGTATTTCCAGTGTTCTTGGGGTAACAAACCAACTCCACCTGGAACAGCCTCGAATCCTCTCCCACCGCCAGCCGCTGCACCATTAGGCCTCTCTGCGACTGACCTTTTGGCTTATGAACGGCAGCTAGCTATGAGCAGGATGGCTGGTGTCCATTCCCTCATGCAACCCCAGGGTCAACATCCTCTGAAGCAAGCATCAATGGGAATGGGTGCTTCTGGAGCAAGCCAGGCTATATATGATGGTGGTTTCCAGAATGTTGCTGCCCAGCAGCTCATGTATTATCAGTGATGTGTAGAAATTTGGCTTTTGGCATACCATTGCCTTTCTTTGGACTAGATGAATTCTTACGACGTCTAGGTTCTCTTATGCTTTGTTTTTAATATTACGGGTTGGTAATGTGGTTCTCACGTGCATTTTGTGTCTTTGATTTATTAGGGTGAGTGTATACTGCAGCGTTTGCACCATTATTCTAGTTGTGTTATGGCATGTTTTTGGAACTTTGATGCAACTATTGGAGCAATCTCTTTTAGTCACAGGGTGCGTTACGATTCTGTTAGAGGTCTGCTTGGTAACTCGCTGCTTTCCATTTAGTGGTTACCCCTTAACAGATTGGCGCCTCCTATATCTCTGAACTTTCAGTACTTGTAAGAGATAACTCTTAGTTATAGCCGTGTAATTATTAGCATACTGCATAATAAGTGGTTGCAAAAATGATCTTTGATTAAGCATGATTTGTGAAGCTGTGGAGAGATAGGCCGAAAGGTCTCTTGTGGATTCTTCTAAGAACTTTAGCCTGTAGCTGATGCATCCTTTGTAGGAATGCAGCATCATTGCCTGGAATTGGGAAATTGAGGCTTTTTCTTATCCTTGCATATCCAAGATTGCTATTTTGCTGCAGGACTTCGGTTCGCAGTAGAAATGCAATGCAATGCAAAATGTGTGGATTCAGCTTGCATTATGAGTTCAAACCTTATTGTGGCCTAACTTACTCCATCCGTTCCAGCTTATATGATACTCTTTTCTTTTTAGTTTGTCCTAAGAAACAATATAATTTCAAACTTTTTTTTTTCATTTTACCCTCAATGAGAGTATCTTTAGCCATACAAACGAGGCTTATTTTGGATCACAATTTTAGAAGTCTACCTTTCCTTCTAAACTCCATGGTAAGTCAAACTTGTGCTCCTATTCAAATTATGTTTCAATCAATACCAACTCTTGTGTGTTTTTTGCAATTCATATTAAAGACCCTTTCCGAAGGTTAGGTACCTTGCTCAGTTCCCCCATGAGGGAAAGTCTAGTATACAATTTTCTTTCTTCTGATCGAGCTTTATCAGAGTCTGTATGCTTTAGTGCTCGGATTGGACTTGGAAACCCCGCAGAGTTGAACTAAAATTTAACATTTAGGTGAGAAGGCTAGAATGGTGGGCTTATAATATACTGAGTATCAAACCACCAACTGGTCTTTTTTCTGATGATAAACCAACATCAATTTGTATAGTATATATGCCCCAAGCCCTCTTTTTGTACTACCATTCTTTTTTTTTTTCCTTCTAAAAGAGGGCAACTGGGCTATCTTCACAGCCTCAAAAGGCATTAGGAAGAGATTTAATGAGCCAGCGTAATAACTTCAATCGATAGAAAAATCTATCAATACTTTCAATGTTGAAAATGTAGATCTGTGTGGTAGCCAAACACGTGCGCTATCGTTCTTTAACTCTCTTCTTCTATTGAGTTTGAAAGCTTTGAAGCTGTGAGGCTGTAGTAAGGTAACAAATGTTACAGCTTCAGTAAGGTAACAAATGTTATGAACCGCATCACCTTCATTCTTTCTGAAGTTGTCTTTACAACATATTGTTCAGCACTAGCAGCAAGGCATAAAGTCTGAGTACACATTTACTGTATTTAGAAGACTAGCTGTGTCTAAGCTCGTATAGAGAAATGACGGATTGCTCGTGACTTGTGACCGATCTTCCAACATATTTCCTGTATGCTGAAACATTTTTTTAATCCCCTGGAGCTGCTTGTCCAGCCACTCTGAGTTATGTTTGTCCATATAAGAACAAGATTTATTTAACTTGCCGATTTTACGAATTAAGGATTAAGGGAAAGCAGAAATCATCCACCAGCTTCATAAAAATTTCACATAATGTGAAACAATTGTAGAGTCGGAGCTATGCCCTGTATATAAGGGATATACTTAGCTGCTTCCACGACGAAACTACATCCTACAGTATATTTCTTTATCTGTTTTCACGTGGCTTCTGGTGATGTCGTTGATAGTACAGCAACCAGAAAGGGTCATTGTCAACTCAAGTTCATTCTTGAGCATTTCAATAACTTGCTTTACCCCATGCTCCCCCTTTGCAGCCAGGCCATACACAACCGCTCGACCAATCTGCAGGTATATTGTTTTAGATGTTTCCATTTTACTTTGAATGTTCCATACTGAAAATTTTTGTGCTTAAATTGTTCACAATGGCTTAATATATTTTATTCAATGTGCCTCGTTAAAAGTCTAAAAACCTAAACCAGTGAACTTACCAACATTCAGTAAAGATAACGTCAAATATACCAGGAAGATAGGGAATAACCTCTTCAAGAACAGAAATAGTAGCTGGAGCATAATCTAGTTGCCGAGCTCCATGGTTAGAGACAATAATTCCTGCAACTCCTACTTCAACTGCTTTTATTGCTGCAAAAAGTAGTAGTACATGCCAAGTCTTTAGCCGAAAGAGTCAAATAGTGAGACCTTACAACAACAACAGTTCAATCCCAAAGTAAGTCGGAGTCAGCTATTTGAATTTCACTATCATTTCATTCTGAGAATTTCTCCTTGAAAGGTTTGTAACTATATTTCCTTCGTTCTTCATGATGTTTGTACATCTATTGTTTTATTCCCTGCTTACTTGACTGCACTTCCTATTTCCCTTCTAAAGTTCTCATGTATGATTGACAAACACCAACCTTTTTCTGTGCCCATGTTCTTATAGACATAATCAGTGAAGAAACCTAAACTATGCAGCTATCTAGGATTCAGTGATAAATACCATCTTCAGAAGTCAGAACGCCCTTAATCAGAATTGGCAACTTGGTAATTGATTTCAACCACGCTATATCCTGCAAAAGATTTGGAGCATAAACGGATAAAAAGGGAATACAGTTAATCACATTTCTATTTAGTAACAAATGACACGATCTTTCTATAATGTACTTTTGTAGCATAGCAATTTTACTTGCTTTAACATACATTGATATCCTCAACCAAAATGTTCGTTCTAGGCCCGAGAGTTTAAGTCATCCTTGAGGTATATCATGTGGTAATAAGGAACAAAAGAATAATTTAAAATTCCGTACCATCCAACACAGCGAAGCATCAAAAGTTCCAGCAGCAAAGGCTTCAATATTTGAGCCATTGTCCTGCAGAGTTTTATTAGTAGATGTAAGAGAAATCTACACCATTTCAAGATAGATATATGATGACTAACGGAATTTCTGCATATCAAACTAATGAACGAGAACACGAACCCATTTAAACCAGTAGCACACAGATGAGTACAGAAGCATTGCTATTGTACACTATATTCAACAAACTGAAGTAGCAGACCAGTGCGTCTAACAACTAGTAGTGATCAGCTAATTGGCAAGTCAAAGCAGGAACCCCTTTAATGGAAACTTAGGCTCTACACTACTTGGGAACAGAATTAGTACTTTATAGTTTTTACTTTATAGCCAAAATTGACCATTTCAGTTTGGAATTACACGCACAAAACAGCGAATAGTATGTAATTCTGGCATAGCGAATGTTGAAGCTAATCCCTAAGGTCAACATCCCAAACCCCCAACAAATAGAAGGAGAAAGGAATGAGTCATTCAGAAAGAACACCAGATTTAGTAGGAATAATCAGCCAATAAGAGACATTTTAGTCCTATAAAATAAATTTTGTTTCTTAAAAGAGTTTCACAATTTGCCTTTCAGTTTAACAGGTGATTTGTCTATAAAGCCAGAATATATGGTTTTACTCACATTAACATATTCAGTTGATATAAGACCTTCGAAGTTCTTCAACTGTGGTGCAACCATCCTGAAATTGTAACTCCTCTCTCTAGATCAACACATGATTACCAAAACTATAGGAATTCTTTAAATTTCTTGAAGTAATGAATGATGAAACTGATTTCTTTCCGGATACGGTTGAAGAAGAACGACGAAAAGGAGTTTTCCTAGACTTGGACAATAGCTTACTTATTCTTTATATCTGCCTCCCTTCTACCAAGCCTCGGGGTATCAGCAGTAAGAATAACAGCCTTAAACCCATTCCTCTCAGCTCTTTGTACCATAAGTGCTGTTATATCCCTCCTTTTGTAAACCTATTGACAAAGAACCTTCTGTTTCAAAACACAACAAAAAAATAAAGATACACGGAGATCTTGATTGTTAGGAAGAATAAAATTACATATATTTGGAAGAAGCGAACAGCATCGCAGCTAGATGCAACCTCCTCCAGTGTGCAGGTTGACATGTATGAAAGTCCCTACAACCAAGAGAATTCGGTACTATCCACATACAAGAATTGGAAATTGCTATGGTTTAGAAAAATATTACCATAATAACATCAGATGCTGAAGCGGCTCTAGCTGTTGCAACTTCTCCTGGCATTAGTTTAACAGCTTTCTGGAATCAGAGCTACATAGTGTGTTCAGCTAAGCGACTAGGATGATAATTGATCTTAATACAAACCTTCAGGGTGTGCCAATTTATGCATGGCAGTTGGAGCAATCATAATAGGAGCGGATGTCTTGTAACCGAGTATAGCCGTTGACATGTCTATCCTGCTCACATCAACAAGTATTCTAGGTCGAATACTGAGATTATGGAAAGTTAGTGATAGATATCTATGTCTGTTAACAACTCAAGATAAAGAAATTACAAACTTACGTGATTCTACGAAATGCTTCTATGTTTTCTTTTAGGGTGTGCTGGTCCTCAGCTCCTCCATTATAGTAGTCATAGTACATCTTCGGAAGGGCTTGCCTAGCAAGCTCTTGGAATTCATTCACATTAACTGGTTCTCCTGCCATTTAGCCTGCACACACAAGCATTCACATCTAACATTTCTTCCATTCTAGAACTTTGATTTTCTTCTGTCTACTTCACATTAAAAGAGACTCGAGAAATTGCCAACTTATTTCTTCCCCAATAACCAGGACTAGGTGGGTGGTAAAATTTCAAACTGTTGAACTGTCACATAGTAAGGCCAGAGCATTTGTCGTCTTAGGATGTATTCACCTATTTCATTTTCCATAGCGGTGGCATGAAGGGGAGCCTTGCGTAACTAGTAAAGTTGCTGCCATGTGACCAAGAGGTCACAGGTTCGAGCCGTGAAAACAGCCTCTTGCACAAATGCAGGGTAATGCTGCGTACGATAGCCCCTTGTGGTCAGGCCCTTCCCCGAACCCCGCGCATAGCGGGAGCTTAGTGCACCGAGCTGCCCTTTTTTTATTTGACACGGCATGGAAATTAAGAAAAAATGAAAGACTTTTCGCACATATCACGAGTAATTTTAGAACTTGTGATCTTAAATATGCTATGACATTTGTACATTAGACAATAAAGCATGGCATTAAGGGCAAATGCTAAGTTTAAACTATAATATGGAACTGAGGGCGTAATAGATTCCTGTTGAAAGTTGAAATGTTTGTGTTTTATACGATTTAATCACTCAAGTGTGTTTAAGTAAAGAACGAATCCTTTTGTAACAAGGAAGGTAAACCCAAGATCAAGGGGTAGCATTAAATACATATTAGAGCTTAGGAACTAAACCATGTTATAATACAGATTCAGAAATCACAGACGGTTCAACTATCAAAATACTGCAGTAAAGCTCCATTTTTTAAAAAAAAAAAATTAAAAAGAGAAATTTCCAACTAATTCAAACAGGAAAATAATCCTCCACAAGCAAAAAATAATAATAATAGAAAAATGGAGGATGGTAAGAAACAATTTTAGTACCTGGACGATACAGAGAAGAGTTAGGCACTTCTCCACTGGTTCTTCTTCTTCCTGTAGTTGAACTCAAAAGCAGCCTTTTGAAAAGCTGAGTTGCATAAATTTTAACGCTTTTCGATTTAAAGAAACTGTGTTTTCTGACACAACTTGTTAATCTTTTGGCAATATTCTAATCTGTAGCTTGGAAGTTTCTGTGTTTTTCTATTAGAACCTAATTTGACAGAATATTAATCTTAATAAATATTAGTTATTATTTTATTATTTAATATAGTGGGCAGAAATATAATAAAATCTATACAAAATAATAAAATGTGAAGATGCTCTTCTACAAATAAAAATTTATCTAAATTTATTTTGTATAGAAATTAAACATATTATAATCCTCACGTTTTCACGTTACAATTCAAGTGTCTAGTTAGGATATGTAGTAAAAAAATTCTAGGAATAGGTGTTTCAATTTCCAGTTAAAGTATATTAATTGGTATTATTATAAATAGGGTGTTGCTAGCTACTTTTATGATTGAAGAACTGTAGAGAACATCACCAAAAATATTATTCTTGAATAAATTATTATTTTCCTTCACCGCTGCAATTTACCATCACCAAAAATGTTTTTCAATCTTGGAATTTCTCCCAACACTCCCCAAATAACTTTCTGGATGTTGACAATGGTTTCTCTGTGACAGAGAATTGTTGGGAAAATCAAGGAACATTCAGCTGATGTGCAGATGCCATAAGGAAATGTGTACAGTCTAATGCAAGGATTTAAGGTTGGAGAGCAAAAGAAACCATTACAAGTATTGATAATGTCACTACACACAGAACATTACTACGAATCAACATTTGACATGATTGTAGAGTCGCGCATAGCGGGAGCTTAATGCACCGGACTGCATTTTTTTATTGTAGAGTTGGGGCCAAGGCCACTTATTTAAGGTACAGAGGATGAAAACTACATCCTACTAAGGAAACTTTCTTTTTCTGTCTTAACATGGCTTCTGGTAATGTCATTCACATTGCAGCAGCCAGCAAGAGCCATGGTCTGCTCAAGTTCATTCTTCAACATTTCTATAACTTGCTTTACACCAGACTCTCCCTTAGTGGCCAGGCCGTAGATAACCGGTCGACCAATCTGCACGAATATGTACTAGGTTAAATTACACTGATAGTGCAAAAATTATTTATATTGTCAGTGTATATAAGTTTAAGTCAATTTCTTTAATTCATTTAAGTTTACCAGAACAGCTTTTGCACCAAGTGCTAAGGCCTTGAATATGTCTGTTCCTCGCCTAATTCCTCCATCAAAGAAAACTGGAACTTTATCTTGAACAGCATGGACCACCTAAAACCATTGGAAATTAAGGAGGAACATATGGAAGCCAATATATATATACATTGACAGATTTTGGTTCGCTTTTGATGGAGACATTTGGATTAAAGAGGAGATTTCAAATAACATATTTCAACTTTCAATTGAAAAGAATTCAAATGAGCTTTGTGTAGCAAAACATCAATCATGCAAGGAAGGAAATCACCTCTTCAAGAACAGAAATAGTGGCTGGAGTACAATCTAGTTGCCGAGCTCCATGATTTGAGACAATAATTCCTGCAACTCCTGCTTCAATCGCTTTGATTGCTGAGAAAAATCGTATAAGAAAAAACTTTAGAAAAAGTGCTCAATTGGTGAGACTTGGTAGGAAAATCAAAGTTTATATATGTTAAAATATATTGAAACTTTTCCTATCATCTAACAAAGAAATGCAAAAGAAGCTTGCTAGAAGTTATACTTTGACAATTAAGTATGTATACGTATGTATATGTGTCGAGGGCCTATCAGAAACAGCCTCTCTACTCTCACAAGATAGGGGTAAGGTCTGCATACACACTGCGCTCCCTAGACCCCACTTGTGGGATTATGTTGGGTATGATGTTGTTGTAAGTTAAAACGATATATCAAAGATTCAGTATGTTCCATGGAAACTTATATGGAATTTAGAGAAACAAGTACATGATATATGGAGGCGATTAGAGATTCTGTTGACTTGAGCTAAGGTTTATGATAAATGTTATACCATCTTCACTAGTGAGAATGCCCTTTATCAGAATTGGCAACTTGGTAACTGATTTTAACCACGCTATATCCTGCAAAGTTTTGGAGAGTGTGAGGATTACAGAAGAATATGGTGGATCATATATTGTAAGAAAACTTCAAAAACCATGAAACTCTGATCATTCTCTAATGCATTTTGTAGCTCAGCTATATACGTTGACATCCTCAACAAAATTTGCATTCAAGTACCAAGACTATATTTCCTCGTGTGATCTTCTCCTGCGATATTAAGTAACACATATATTTAATTTTCAAATCTTGTACCTTCCAGCAAAACGAAGGGTCAAGAGTTTCTGCAGCGTATGCTTCAGTTGTGGAGTCTTTGGCCTGCAGGATTTTATTTTTGGATTAGTAAGCATAGTCTATACTATTTGCAAGTTGACATATCGATGGCGAATTATGGAATTTCTGCATATTAAAATAATTAAAAGAGAAAACTAATGCATATAGTAGGAGGAACCAGCTAATTTGTCATATTGTAGTCCTGCAAAATAAGCTTGTTTCTTTAAGGAGTTTCAAGTTTTCCATGTTTCAGCTTAACATGTAATTTATCTAATAATTGTGTTTAGTAAAAACAGCAGAATATTAATGGTTTAACTTACAGAAACAACTTCAGTTGATATAAGACCTTCAAAGTTCCCCAACCGAGGTGCAATCATCCTGCAATTCTGACTCTTAGTAAGATTAACACAAAATCATAAAATTTCCTGAGCCGAGGGTATATTGGAAACAACCTCTCTATCTCCACAAGGTAGGGGTAAGGTTTGCGTACGTACTACCCTCCCCTGACCCCACTATGTGGGATTATACTGGGTATGTTGTCGTTGTTCTTTAAGTACTGAATGATGAAACTGATAAACTATGAAAAGAATTTAGCTAGACTTCAATGACCAATAAAACATTATACACATTACTTATTCTTTATATCAGCCTCCTTTTTTCCAAGCCTCGGAGTATCAGCAGTGAGAATTATAGCCCTGAACCCGTTGCTCTCAGCTTTCCTTACCATAAGTTCTAATATATTTCTCTTGAAAGCCTATTGACAAAGAATAAATTACCTATCTGTTGCAGAACACAAAATCAAGTGAAGATATATGAAGATCATGAGAGCTGGGAATAATAAGTTACGAAAGTTTGAAGGAAGCGAACAGCGTTGCAGCTTGAAGCAACCTCCTCCACTGTGCATGTAGACGTAAATGCCAATCCCTATACCCAGAGAATTCAGTATCCACACACCAGAATTCGAAATTGATCTGTTTTTTTAAGGAAAATATTACCATGATAACATTACATGCTGCTGCACCTCTAGCTGTTGCAACTTCTCCTGTCATAGATACAATAGCTTTATGGAATAAGAGTGACATGGTACGTTCAGCTAACAGACTAATGTAAAAATTGATTTTATTCAAACCTTCAGAATGTGCCAATTGATGTGAGGAAGTTGGAGCAACTATAATGGGAGCCGACGTCTTGTTACCAAGTATAACAGTTGACATGTCTATTTTGCTCACATCAACAAGCATTCTTGGCCGAATACTGATTTTATGAAAAGTTAGTCCTAGAAATCTGTCAGTTGCCAACTGAAGAGCAAGAATTACAAACTTACGTGATTCTACGAAATGCTTCTGTATTTTCTTTTAGTGTATATTGATCCTCAGATCCTCCTGCAAAGAAGTCATAGTACATCTTTGGAAGAGCTTGCCTAGCTAGCTCTTCAAATTCATTTACATTAACTGGTTCACCTGCCATTTAGCCTGCATACACGAGCATTCCTATGTTAAATATTCTCTCATTGTAGAATTTTGGTCTTCTTTTGAGAGCAGAACTCGAGGTGTTGAAGCAAAAATATTTAGTACCTGTAGGATACAGAGAAGAGTACACACTCTCCAGTATCTCTCTTTGCTGTAATTGAACTTAGAGATAGCCTTTTGAATTGCTGTGTGCAGATTTTAAATGATCAGAGGATTATCTGTTTCCATTTCCATGCAATGGTCAAAACTCAAAACTGTGGGGGTCCGGAGGTGAAGGAAATAGGCATGTGTCTATACACTAATCATTTGGCTGCAAATGATTCTTGGCAGGTGAAAGGCACCAGGTCAAAGAAATGAAAGAAGGGAACATAACTACTGAGAAAGAAGGGGGAGAACTTGTGGTGTAAATCATCTCCGTATTGGTACAATTAATTTCGCTTTTATGATTCTAGTAGTAGCTTGATGATAATGAAGATTTCAATGTGTGAATTGATTGGAATGCTGACTTTTTAAAATGCAATCCAGGTGAAGACTTTATCAAGGAGGTTTTGATGATTTGGCCCTTCTATATTTTTGGAGGTGAAGCCTTATGAGCTTATGTTCAGAAGGCTCTATAATATTGTGATACTTCCGGAGTTTATAGATCAACTAACATTTCAATTTTATGGGTTCTCAGTTTTAGCCAAGTGTTAATAACTGAGTTCTAAATTTAATATGGAACATATTTAAAGAATTTCTTAACACAAATACACTGTTTGAGCAAAAGTTACTGGGCTGAACCCATATCTGAGCTTCTACCTCTACCCCTCAACTAAGGCCACTTGAGGAACTCATTCCTGTTATTTACTTTGGTTGATCCAAAACCATTTACTTTTACTCTTGTTAGTTTCTTGTTAACACTTTACTAAATCAATAGTTTCTTGTTTACATAATATTACATCACTAATTTATTGGAAACTCTTTGTTAAATCATTGATTTCCTCATCCGAAAACGACTTAGATCCCTCTAAAAATGTGGCATTGAATTAGCTCGTGAAAGGAACTCTTATCGTTCTTGTTTTTCCGGTTATTCTCTTACAGTTCATAGTCATCATATCTTCTAGATTTGATCAGTAAAATTAATCTTGCTGAATAAAATTTTCAGGTTAAAAATAACAAGTACGAGTAACTAAGAAAACCCAATTCTCATACACAATCTTTTAATTTCCATTTTCAAGTTTTATCCTACAATGGTGATAAGCAAAGCATAGCATCTGAAAGTGTATCAGTTGTACAAGAATCATAAGCAAAAGGGAGATATGCCAGCTTATTATAGGTCCATGGAAATATGACAGCTTATTATAGGTTACCAATCAATGCTCCTTAAATAAGACTTGCCTGCAATTACTTTAAGGTGACCTGATTATATAAATATTTTTTTACATCATCAGTGCATAGAACTTAAACTCATTTGAGAAACAGAGGATGGAAACTACATCCTACATAGCAACCTTTCTTTCTCTGTCTTAACATGGCTTCTGGTAATGTCATTCACATTGCAGCAGCCAGCAAGAGCCATGGTCTGCTCAAGTTCATTCTTCAGCATTTCAATAACTTGCTTTACACCAGACTCCCCCTTAGTGGCCAGGCCGTAGACAACCGGTCGACCAATCTGCACGAATATGTATTAGGTTAAATTACACTGATAGTGTAAAAATTATTTATATTGTCAGTGTATATAAGTTAAGTCAGTTTCTTTAAGTCATGTAAGTTTACCAGAATAGCTTTTGCGCCAAGTGCTAAGGCCTTGAATATGTCTGTTCCTCGCCTAATTCCTCCATCAAGAAGAACTGGAACTTTGCCTTGAACAGCATTGACCACCTAAAACCATTGGAAATTAAGGAGGATTATATGGAAGCTAATATATCTACATTCAAAGATTTTGGTTCGCTTTTGATGGAGGCATTTGGATTAAAAAGGAGATTTCAAATCTATAGATCTTATTTTTTTTAAGAATTCAAATAACATATTTCAACTTTCAATTGAAAGAATTCAAATGAGCTTTGTGTAGCAAGAAATCAGTCATGTAAGGAAGGAAATCACCTCTTCAAGAACAGAAATAGTAGCTGGAGTATAATCTAGTTGCCGAGCTCCATGGTTAGAGACAATAATTCCTGCAACTCCTGCTTCAACTGCTTTTATTGCTGCAAAAAGTAGTAGTACATGCCTAGTCTTTAGAAGAAATGCACTCAGACGTGGTAGGAAAATTTGAAGCTTTCTGTGCGAATAGCTAAAGGTTCAGTGATAATAATATACCATCTTCACCAGTGAGAACGCCCTTAATCAGAATTGGCAAATTGGTAATTGATTTTAACCATGCTATATCCTGCAGAAGTTTTGGAGACTGAGGATTCCAGAATAATATAGTAGATCATATATTTGTATTGAAGGGGAGCCTTGGCGTAACTGGTAAAGTTGCTGCCATGTGACCAGAAGGTCACGGGTTCGAGCCGTGGAAATAGCCTCTTGTAAAAATGCAGGGTAAGGCTGCGTACAATAGACCCTAGTGGTCCGTCCCTTCCCCGGATACCGCGCATAGCAAGAGCTTAGTATGCCGGGCTGCCCTATCATATATTTGTATTGAACTCTAAAAACAATGAAACTCTGATCCTTCTCTAATGTACTTTGTAGCTCAGCAATTTTACATATGTTGGCACTCAAGAAATTTGAGTTCATGGATCAAGACTGTATTTCATCATATCTTCTACTGTGGTATTAAGGAATGCATACATTTAACTTTTAATCTTGTACCTTCCAGCAAAGCGAAGGATCAAGAGTTCCTGCAGCGTATGCTTCAAGATTTGAGCCCTTATCCTGCATAGTTTTATTAGTGGATTAATAAGCATTGTCTACACTAGTTTCAAGTTGATATATAAAAATTGCTTTTGATAAAAAGCTAGGATATTATGGTTTATCTTACAGAAACTACTTCAGTTGTTATAAGACCTTCAAAGTTCCTCAACCGAGGTGAAATCATCCTGCAATTTTGACTCTTTGTTGATCAACACAGGATTCCAAAATTTATAAAATATCTTAAGTACTAAAATGACGAAACCGACATCTTCCAGATGAGATGAACAATGAAAAGAATTCAAGTAAAAAGGATATACAACTTATTCTTTATATCAGCCTCCCTTCTGCCAAGCCTCGGAGTATCAGCAGTGAGAATTATAGCCCTGAATCCATTGCTCTCAGCTTTGTGTACCATAAGTTCGGTTATATCTCTCCTTTTGTAAACCTATTAACAAGGAAAAGATTTGCAATCTGTTAACAAAACAGAAAAATCAGTAAATATACATGAAGATCATGAGAGACAGGAATAATAATTTACATATGTTTGGAAGAAGCGAACAGCGTTGCAGCTTGAAGCAACCTCCTCAATGGTGCATGTGGCCGTAAATGACAATCCCTATGAATCAAGAGAACTCAATATTTTTACACTGCAAATCGGGAATGGATCTGCTTTTTTGGAAAACAATTACCATGATAACATTACATGCTGCAGCACCTCTAGCTGTTGCAACTTCCCCTGGCATAAATACAACAGCTTTATGGAATAAGAGCTATTACGTAGTACGTTCAGCTAACAGACTAGGTAATTATCATTTTATACCCCTCGACTGCACGAAATATCTTTAATATTATACTTTGGTCATACCTGCCATTAGCAGTTTCGTATTTGTCGTTGACCCTAACTGAGCTCCATTAAAGTCAAGGGCAAATACGAGACTAATTCGCTAATGGTAAGGTATGAATGTCTGTAAAGTACGTAATGTTGGGTTTGTTATTTAATAAATAATAACAGAGGTGTCAATGGAAAATGGTAGGAAAAGAAATGGAGGGATGACCCGCGACCCGGTCCGGTCTAGCCCGTTTTTCTTTCCCGGATTAATTTAAATTCGTTTTAAATTTCCCGCAAAAATTTCCAACAGCTATGGCTGTTCTGAAACAGTGTCACACCTGTTCCAACAGCCATGACTGTTCTGAAAGGTTGCAAATCTCTTCATAGGGTCACACCTGTTCCAACAGCCATGACTATTCTGAAAGGTTGCAAACCTCTTCAGAAACATCACCAAGTTGGCTATAAATAGACCTTCAAATCCCAGAATATTTACTTACGAAATTTTCTGAATCTTCTTCTTCTTCTTCTGCACAAAATATTCCAGTGTGTTTTACGACCATCGAGTGGTTCGCCGATCACCAGAGTTTTAGGTACCGATACACTGGTGAGTTAAATCGTTCTATCCTGGGAGGATATATTCCATAACCTCGGGTACTTGAGGGGAATAATTTCCTTAAGGACACACTGTGTATTCAGTGGCTCGATTTGTTCCTATAACGTTTTTCCAGAATTTATTTTGAAGAAGTTTACTATTTTCGGAATTTAATTTCTACTAACTTTCTGTTTCTGTTTTCAGAAAGATTATTATTTAATTTACAGCAATACAAATATATAACAATCTTAAGGAAATTATATTTATTATATTCTGTATTCTGTCTGAATTTTACTATTCTGATTTGAAGATATAAAAACTTCATCAGGGTATTCAAATTCAGAAAACGATTTGAAGAACATAAAAACTTCATCGTTTTTCTGTAAAACAGTATATAAAAACTTCAGTTGTTTTTATTACGTACTGTTTATTAATTACAGTATTATTTACTATTTTGGTTTTGCCATTAATTGATCTCTTCTGTTGTTCACTGTAAGAAATGGCAAATGAGAATGGAATTCCTTCTGCGACGGTTGGTGCAAACGACGATAGCCTCGTCAAGCCACACTGTTGTTCCTCCGGCCAAGAAACCGGGAAAGTCGTAACGTTTGGATAAATTGTTTAGTAAACAATGACATGCGAGATTTGACCAAATAATATTGTCAAATGGTTTCAAAAATTAATGAGTGTAAACAAATGTGTTTACGTTAAGAATACTTCAAATCATATAGTCATTATTTGATTATATATGATATGTTGATGAAATATTTAAAATGTGGGGGCTTTTAGCTTATGCATGACAAAAGCCAATGTTAGACGTAATGTCTAAATTATATAATTTTTGAACTCCATTGATATAGTAGTTGGTAAAATCATCAGTTGTTTAGTCTTAATAAAGACTAGTTGATGAAACTACTAATTCGGAAGTTGGTCACATGCCTTTCTCGAAAGGTCATTTTCTTTAATGAAAATTTATATTATTTAGTTCTTTTATGAAATGATGTCACTTTGAAGGTTGTGACTTTTCATAGAAAGATACGTCTGTATAGACATGACCGTTCATGAACGAATATATTAATACGTTGGTCTATAATGAGGTGAACTAACCGATGAACATGACCAAAATCCATTGCAAGTTGGATTTGTTTCATGAATGGAGGTGCTATAATTTGCATATCATATAGACATATGAATGAATAGCATACAAATGCTTGAAAATGGCGGAATAATTACGAAATGTGTTATATATTAAAAGGTTGTGGCCACAACTGATGCCAATCATTCCAGCTGTTGTTATAATTACTACATTAAGTGTAGTCAATAATCTGATATGCAATCGAAAATCGAGACGTATTAGTCTACAACATAAGGAAGTTTGCATTGAACGTTCATTTGAAATATACTCCAAATTATGCTTTGCACTACAATAAGTATCCCACGATAATAGAGGGGTATAGTGATGCAAATTAGATCACCGGTTCAACCGATTCTAAACAGTCGGTGGATGAGCGATGTCTTGGAAATCGTCCAAACAAATGTGCATTGACCGCTCTACAGTGGAGGCTGAGTTTATAGCCTTAGACAAGGCCGGTGAAGAAGCTGAATGGCTTCGGAATTTCTTGGAAGATATTCCATTTTGGCCCAAACCTTTAGCACCTATATGTATACATTGTGATAGTCAAGCGGCAATAGGTAGGGCAGGGAGCGTTATGTATAACGGAAAATCTCGTCATATCCGACGGAGACACAATACCGTTAGACAACTACTCTCTAGTGGTGTTATCACAATTGACTACGTAAAGTCAAGAGATAACGTGTCGGATCCACTTACAAAAGGCCTATCTAGAGAGGCAGTTGAAAGATCATCAAAGGGAATGGGGTTAAAGGCCTAGGACAAGTCATCATGGCGGTAACTCTACCTAGCAGACTGGAGATCCCAAGAGCTAGGTTCAAAGAGATCAAACAAAGTTATGAATGACGGTTCAACATTGTCAACTAACTCAACCCATTCTCGTGATGAAGACAATGTTCAAAAACGAGGTAAAGCATTAAGGCTTTTTTGATGAGTCAATAAAGCTTAAAGCTTTTTAATGATTTGGTAAGTCTGGCAGGATATGACCAGATAGTGTGTCTTTAGGATTACACGTTGAATCACCTATGTGAGTGTGAAGTGTAAGCCGCTTCAAGGAGAATGAAAGTAAAGGCCCACTCTCTAAGCACTCATGAAACCAGGCGGTGTTCATGGCTGAAACGAACACAACCGTGAGAACCATA